GCATCACGGAGGACCGGCCGGCCGTCGCTGTGTTGTCCCGTCGTGAGAAAGTCGCGATGAGCGAGGGGATTAGATCCACATCCCGGCGGCGGCAGGGCAGGGCACTGCCCCGGGGGCCCTGGAGGCCCTGGAGGCCCTGGAGCCGCCTGGAGCCAGCGGTGACCCGCGTGGGTGGTGGCGCGCTTTGGCGCGGGCTTTCTCTCTCGGGCGACAACCAACTGACCGGGACCGGGCGGCGGTCGGTCGGGCCGCGGGGAGGCAGGCCTCCCAGTCGCCGGCGACATGGCGTTACCGCATCGCGCCGGGGACAACAAGAACAGAACTACTTGTCGAGCCGCTGCTCCTCCTCTTGTATGGGCCTTCCCTTCCGCCGACCGGAGGCGGCAGAGAGGAGGCAGCGCGAGGGGCGTCGCGCCTCTCGCGGAGGAATATTTCTGCCGCGCCGGAAACGAGTGACAGGAGCAGCAGCGACATGTATGCGCCCCGCCCCGCCCCGCCCCGCCACTCCACGCCGGCGCGGTGGGCCTATGTCAAGGACAGCGGCGGTGCACCCGGCCGAGCCGCGGGGCGGGGAGCAAGGAGCGGGTTAGGGTGGGGCGGCGTCCTCCAGACGAACGCAACGAGATGCTGCTCCTGTTGCTGCCGCTTTGCCCCGAGCCGCTATGTACTCCTTCCAGCCCGCTCCAGCCCGCTCCAGCCCACTCCAGCCCGCTCCAGCCCGCTCCAGCCCGCTCCAGCCCGCTCCAGCCCGCTCCAGCCCGCGCCAGCCCGCTTCAGCCCGCTCCAGCCTGCTGGACGCACACAAGGTGGCGGCGACGGCTTGCCCCCCGCCGCCCCGCGCCGCCCGGCGGGAGCGTTTGACCGAATATGGTGGCAGACCGGCGACGCGCCGCGACGGCCTCGCGTAACGCTGCCGGGGGAAGAGGGGGGGGGGGTGATGACTCAAGATCTCGTCAGGGGTATTAGTTAGTGTGTCACGCGTGGAAAGGGGCGGGCGCGGGCGCGTGGCTCACGGGTCATGTCCCCCCTCGGTTTGGCATACGAAGCTAACTGCCTAACGAGCGCGGCCTTCCCGGCCGAGAGTGACGCTCCCTTGTCGCGTTGTACCGCCCGGGAGCACGCGCGCGACGCCCGAGCTACCTGACACGGTTCTGACACCGTCCGCGTTGATGAAGTGCGACTGTTCGGCACGCACCGCTGCCGCGCCCGGGCCCCGCGCAAGTACGGCCCGAAGCTGCACCGCGCATGCAGGCACGTTGCACGCCGGCTGCTTCCGGCCTGGCACGCAAGCTGCAAGGACTGCATTTCTTTGGTTTTCCTTTTTAGCTCATGCGCTGCTTCGTCGCCAGTGTACCACCGAACCTGGAGGTGGAGGTTGGGGTTTATGCTTCGGGTTCCGTGGCGACCACCACCACCTTCCAGCCCCTTCCACCAACAACCACCAAGTCAGCGAGCTGCTGTGGGAACGGGACCGCCGCGGCCGCAGCTGCTGCAGCTGTATGAGCGGAGGACGCCCGCGGTACCGGCCGGCGGGAGGCACAGCTGTTCAGCTGCCGCAGCTGCAGCCGCGCCGCGGGGGCACCTGTCGCGAGGCAACACACCATCACGTACGCAGGCAGCCCCGTGATGACAAGTCACGCCCGCCCGCCCCGTCCCGCCCCAGCCTGCCTATCACCCTATGGCAACCCCGCCCCGCCACAACCCGGTGACTGAGCAGCCTGCCGATGGCCGAGTCCAGAATGGGAATTATGAAACGGAGGGGGGGGAAGGGGGGGGGGGGGTCCTACCTACATCGCATCGCGACCTTCGGACGTGCTCGGAAAGCAATCAAGTGAGCATTAGATGTCTCGCTTAAGGACGGCCACGGATACAGTGACAGATCAGCGCACGCCGGCATGGCACGCCACCACGCCAGTCTCGCCCGCGATCTCGGAACATATGACATAATATCTAATCGGGCTGACACGTTCTGCTAGGAAAGGGAAACGCTGTCATAAGTACGCGAATCGCATCAGTTAAACAAAAGGGCCGTCCTGTGCCCTAACCCGGCCTCGGGCCATCTCCCCATCTCCGCAGCATTCTTCCACCATTCAGCCCGTCCCCCTCGCCCCTCTCCCACCCGAACCCCTCCCTCTCTCACACCCCTCCCCCCACCCTCATCTCTCTCTCTCCCTCTCTCTTTCTCTCTCACACACACATGCACACACACTCGCAGAATAACAGACCCCTTCTCCTACAGTTCCTACGGTTCCTGTCTATTTTTATCGCGCTCCCCTTACGTGCGCCGCCTGCGCCGCCTTCGCCCGGTCCGCAGGGAGAGCCCGAACCCGAACCGAAAAGCCCGAGCTGACGACGGAAAGGACCGAATGTAAAACAGCCCAGTTCATATTTAGAGAAACGCGGAGCCTCGGTACTGCGAATTACGTCACTTCAAAGTGAAAGCGAGAAGCTAGCAAATCTTGCCAAAAATGTGTAAGGTCTCCTTGAGCCAACCACTCTTTGCCCCCCGCCCCAGTCACAGAGAATCAATTAAGTCAGAGATGACGTATAATTTCAAGTCTAGAATCTGGGAAGCTTTCGTTTCTAAGTACCACAATTCTTTAAGTTTAAGAGCATTGCGAAAGCCTCTGATGAAGGTAAGGTGACGGCATTACGTCGGCCCAAGTTCCGTATATCAGCTCCAGTCTCAAAAAAGGCCCATCGCAAACACTACGGCCTAGTCGCATAAACTGTCAAGGGGGTTGTTGATCATGGAATAGGCACGTCCAGAAAGACCCCAGCGTGCGGCCGCTGCACTTTGACACAGATGGTGTTGACACGGCGTGGTACTCCAGTGGCGATGGCTGATTTTGGCGACCCGGAGGCAGCTCCGCCCCCGGTGGGTGCCTCGGGGCCGACCGGAGGCAGTCCGGAGTTACCCGGAGGCAGCCCTAGGGGAGGACCCGTAGGGAAGTATCCTCTTGTGGAAATAATGTGACACTGCCGAGGTTGACAGGGCAACCCAATCGACGCACCAATGCACTCACTTCTGGCACTTTTGATCGCTCATCAACACAACACCACTGGGCACTCACTGCAGCACGGCGCACTAACGAAGCACTCGATGCACTTATGGTATTCCAAAGAGGGGCGTTGACGGCGAGGTTGGCGGGGAGCTTGACCTCCTCACCGGTGCGTTGCAGCGGGCCCCGGGACAGGTGAGCGGTGCTGGCGGGCGCGCTAGCTTCTCGTACTTACCAGAGAACCGTGGGGTCCCTTGAGATGTTCGGATCTGGCGCCAGTCGCGGGTCGCGCTGCTCCCTGCTGCTCGCTAGCCTCGTTCGGGGCGGGGCTCGTCGTCGCGTCGTCTCGGCGCGGGCTCGGCGCGGCTTCGGCCACCGAGGGCGCGCGGGGGGGGAGGGGCGGGCGTGGGGCTGGCCGGGGCTCGCTGGCGGGGCGCTGGCCGCGGGGAGGGCCCCGCCTGGGGCTCTGCAGTCCCGGGTGGGGGGTAGGATCACCTTACGCCTCGCCTTAGCGGGCCTGCCCCCGCCGGGGCGGGGGAGGCGGGCGCGCCGCGGCCTCCCCGAGGACGCCCCGGGTAGCAGCACCTCGCCGTCGAACCCCCCTCCACGGGGTGCGGCATCCCCACCGCTGACGGCGGGCAGGGAGGCAGGGCGGCAGCCACCCCCTCCCTGGGCCCGGCCATCCCCTCCACGGGGGCCGCGGCCACCACCCCCGACCCCACGCAGGTGCTGCCCCCGCGCGCCCGCCGGCCGCAGCGCCGCCGTCACCTCGGCGCCGCCGCCGCGTCTTCGGCGTCCCCTTACATTCTTCGTTCGACGGGGGATGGGGGTTGGGCTGGGGGAGGTGGAATGAATCACACATTTACACAGCGGGGCACACCTCGGAGCTTTGCCACTGAACTTTTTCTCTCGTTTTTATTTACTCCGCAGTCGTCCCCAATTCAGTGAGACCTCGAGCGCAACAATATAATCACAACTGACCGACATATGGACCGACCGACATTTTGGCAGCCGTAAATAAAATGAAAAACGGTTTCGTTTTCGCGAGCGGAGCGCCCGAGGGGTAGGCAGGCCCGTGATGCAGCAGTGCGCGTTAGGGCTCCGGTTGCCTACCCGCCAGGCGGTTCCCCAAATGAGAGCTGGATATGAGCAGAAAGGGGATCAGGGTGGCCCGGCGCCAGGATCGTGACAGCAGCTGTTGTTGCTACGAAGAAAAAAAACACATCCACGTCCACCCAGTTCCAGCTCGCCATTGCCCGGGCCGTTGCCAGTGCCCCGAGGCCGCGCGTTGGTTCTCGATCGTCCGGCAGCCGATCTATCCTCTTTCCCAGCAATGGCGCCGAGGCGGCGCAGCTCGACTTCTTGGCCGAACACCGTATATGACCGCTACCGTGACCGCACTGAATGGACGCGTGAGTCGTGTTCGTAAAGTCACGTCGTAAGGTCACCCGGTGGCGGAGAGTGAGGGCGCGGGGCGGGGGTCACCTCCGGGACCTCCGGGACCTCCGGGACCTCCGGGACCTCCGGGTCGCCTGCCGCCCTCCCGCTGCGGTCCTGCGGCGGGCCCCTTTGGTCTGCAGCTGTCGTCATTATGACCTGTTATGACGCCGTTCCTATATGGGCGGGGGGCGGCGATGCAGCAGGTGCTGCCAGGTGCGCGGGCTCTGCGCGCCCCGCCCCGCCCCGCTCGGCCCGGGTCCAGAGTCTAGCCCAGTCATTGACTCGCGCGGGGTGCCACGCCACCCCGCTGCTATGGACGGTCCGGTCCGGCCATCGGCTGCCCGGGCTGACCGCGGCGTCGCATCACATCGGTGGCCCGCTCCGCGCCCCCCCGCGGCCGGCGACACGGGCACGGCACTCGCGGCGGGCGCGCGGCGAGGTGGTGCGGGAGGGGGTGTCGTCGGCCCCCAATGACCTCTTGGGCTCAGCTGCCAAAACTACGTCGAGCACCCTTGAAAAATTAGACAGTTAGTCAAGAAATGCATTTTGCTGTCTAACTGATCGTATTATTTTGTCATATTTTATGAATTCGGATCTCGATACACATCGACAAATTCAACTACGGGCCCGTGCTTTTATCTGCTTATACTGTACCGCACGCGTGCGTGCGTGCCTTCTATTCAAACAATCCGCTCATTCGCGTGAATGCGGTACAGCCTATAAGCAAAAATAGAAATAAAGTAGGGGGTCTATACTTTTGAAGCTCCGGTATCGGAGCTGAATCTGGTTCTAGCTCTCCGAAGAAGATTATTGCGAGCTGTGGTACAGCGACTCCCGATCGTAGGCGAGTACGTTTAGTACGTAGGTGCTTTCCGGTATGCTGTCCGCCACACCCACCGGGACCGGGCTTCACCCTTCTTCACCTCACACTCACACAGACGAGTTTGCCCGTGCCCCACCAGAGGCCACTACCGGATGGCGCGCTCTCGCCCCCGCATGCCAAACCCACACTCAAGGGCCCAACCTGTCGCGTCAACCCCTCCCCCTCTCCCTCTCTTTCCCTCGCCGCCACCAGTTGACTCCAACGACTGTCGCACGGGTCTCACCCTCCTCCCCTCTTAGCGCCGCGAAGAAGAAGTCTGACCTATATTGAGGTCCAACAACACCCGCGCACCAAAGCCCCCCATCAAGGCGTGGCTTGGGTCGCGCTGCCACACCGTACCCGCATCGCCGTCAAATAATTAGCAGCAATAATACTACTGTCAAATTAGCACAAAGTAATACTTTTCTTCAACTAGTTTGTTTGAGTTCATAGTAGCCAAAAGTGCATCTGCGCCAGTGCAGGCTGGTCCATTAAGGGTCCATTTGCCTCGACCAAGCTAACTTACAGATGGAAATCAGCCTAAGTTATGCGGCGGGACAGCGCGAAAGAAAATTCCTGCCATAGCCATTCCAATCTCCCTCTGAACAAATGGTACCCTGGGGAAAACTCTCAGCAGGGTAGTGTCGCGGCGCTCGTCAGCTCGCCCTCGCCGTCGGCGGCGCGAACGTCCGAAATCGTATATGCGATCCATTACCCGTGCCGTCGCTATTTCGGCATTGGGCGGCTGTGGGAGAGGGACCGACGGCGACGTCGCGCGTTTGAAATCGCCACACTCACACCCACCCGGGCGCGGTGGTCGCGTCGCGGCGTGAAAACGTTCGAATAACAAAACGAGAGCGTGGACACACCGCC